AGCTACCAAACATTTGGGGTACAATGGGAAGCTTTTCCCTCCTAGCAAAATTAAGAAAGTTCATTAGCAATTAACAAAATAATATGCAAAAAACTTTGAGAAACAAACAACCAGTCACAGATTTAGCTCATTTCAGTATATACCCAGAAAGCATACTAAAGTAGAAGCACCACAATCTTCATTCAAATAAAACAACTTTTATAAATTCAATCATCATAACATAAATATGTATAGAGACATGTTTATACACTTCAATTGTTCAGTAAAAGTAAATCAAAACCCCCCACATTTAAAAAAAAAAAAAAATACCTTTTTTTTTTTTGTTGTTTTTTTCCCCCTTTTCGGGAAATCTCAATGGCTAGAAATTGAAGAACAAACTGAGTGCAAATCAAGCAATCAAACCAAATTAAACTCAAAAGTTCCAACAAAATCCAGGTTGAGAAGAAGTCATGAAATTGTGGTTTAGAAGATAGATATAAAATGGGTACATGGAATGGACGCATTTAATGGAGAAAACGAAAACCGAAAGAAAATGCGTCACCTTAACCAGGAAGCGAAGATGAGATTATTTGGAGTTAGCAGTTCAGATTATTCAGAATTAGATTTCTTTATTTTTGTACCATTTTCTAAGCAACCAAACAAACCACTAAGTCAAGTTTGATGGTAAATCACTTCAAAAGATCTCCAGATGGTAGTAGCATCACATAAAATTCAAACCGAGTAGAAAAGGCCAAGCTTAATTTTCTCATAACAATACTACTTTCCAAGACTCAAGCAATGTATGTCTATTTCAAGAAACAAATTCTATTTGCATAAATTTCATTCAGTAATTCCCAGTTGCATAAATTTTTTCACCCAACAATGAAATAACCTCCAAGAAATCCAATTTTGCCACTTGCTACCTTATTAAGAAAAATCACTTTCAGCCTATGAGCTTCTAATAAAGGTATACTCCAAAACCCAATTCATCAGCCAATAAGATCACAATATTTAGTTGAGAAAGATCGTGCCGCCTTTTTTATGCCACCTTCAACCTCAAGCAAACAGAACAATTTAAAAATATTCCATATTCTCACGACGGCAATGAAAGACCTAACTTTTGATTTGAATTCATACCTGGAAATAATGGAGACAAAAACAGTTTCACTGAACAAAATCAATAGGCAACAAAATTGATACTGGGAAAAACAGGCCATGAGTATTGTTCTTGGGAGAATTTCAAATCAGTGTATGTTTTCAAAAACAATTTCATATTAGTGGTAGACTTTACCAACTTTAATAATTAAAGCTACTAACTTTTCAATGAATTTATAAATATTTTGTGAAGTTATCACTGATTTGCAATTTTCCCAATGTTCTTTATTGAATTGATGCTCCTATCCAATCCAAAGCCTTTGGACCCCAAAATTCAATGAAAAACTATTATTACGCTTCCAAATTAAATCAAAACAACAATCGAAGCTGAAACAACACATAATCGAACACACAATCGATATCGGTATCTGGATTAGTCATTGTGCCTGTGAGTATTGAAACTCAACGAAGAGAAAAACTCAGCCGATTCCGGATCTGAAACCCTAACCGCCTCTTGACTCTCATCTTCACCACCATACAACAACAAAGCCATCATCAAATACTTCACGCTGTGCTGCTTCTTCAGCTCTGAATTTGCCGGCCACGGCGGCAGTCTGGGAAGTGATCGGAGTTTCAACATCTCGACGTTGAATTGCCGGGAAAGATCGCACATGAAAAACCCTGAGAGGCGATTCGGTGTGGCAGGGTGTAGTGTAGTTCGGGAGAGATTGTAAGAGTGGGAAGAAGTGTGATCTGACATCAACGGTTCCGATGAAAATGGAGTAGGTGATGAAGATGATGAGGATGAGTAGGAGAGAGGACTGTTTTTCTGATCATCTTCATTTTCTCTCTCTAGAAAGCTCTGGGTTTCTCTCTCTGTATGTATGTGTATGAATGTACATGTGAGAGAGAACGTGTAGAGAGGGAGCTGAAGAGAAGATGTGGGAGAGAGAGAGGAGAGAGCAGAGTGTTTGGGCAGGAACTAAATGTATCTAAACCATTGATATATACTTAGGATTGATCTAGACCATTAAAATCAAATGTATCTCTGATACATTTTGACACATCTTCAAAAACAGTTCTGTCTTATCTCTCTCTAGAAAGCTCTGGGTTTCTCTCTCTGTATGTATGTGTATGAATGTACATGTGAGAGAGAACGTATAGAGAGGGAGCTGAAGAGAAGATGTGGGAGAGAGAGGAGAGAGCAGAGTGTTTGGGCAGGAACTAAATGTATCTAAACCATTGATATATACTTAGGATTGATCTAGACCATTAAAATCAAATGTATCTTTGATACATTTTGACACATCTTCAAAAACAGTTCTGTCTTATTATATAGATATACTAGCGTATGCCCGTGCCTGAAGGCACGGTATAAATAATGTTAGGATCAAATTATAATTATAATTTATACAACTACACAATTGAGAAAACTCAATTTGATCCAACTTTATAGACTCACACATATATTCAAGAATGATCACCACAGAGTTCTATTTAAAAAATAGCAAAGGAAGCTAAGTAGAATAGATTTAGTTTCCATTGCCTTTGTCGGACTGGGAAGAAACAGAGGGTGGGAAGGCAAGTAAAGCAATAATGTAATTGGCAATTCTAAAGTAATAAAATACACCTGACAACAACATTTTATAAGCAATAATGAAGGCAACTGAAGCAACATTGTAAATAATGTTAGGATCAAAATGTAATTGAAATTTGTGAAATTTGTGAAGAACAAAATTTAAATAAAATAAAACAACAAAAACATTCAAGCACATGACAACTTGATTAATTGTTTGTAGCATGAGGAAATTAGGCTCTTGTTCATTCCACTCTCAAACGGATCCTAAAACAATCAAAATGAAAATGAAGAAACTAATAGCAAAATAGGTTTAATAGTTAGCAATCAAACAGAGAGAGAAGGGAAGAGGCAAAACAAACAGACACAACCCAAGAAATTCTAAACAAACCCCAAGAACTTCATGACTAAACCTTTGGATCATACAGGAAAGTAAAATTTTCCATAAACTACAGACTACCTGCAAGATGCATTATGGTCCAAAATGAATTAAAATAATTCAAAATGGATGATCAAGGGCCTCAATCTCATAGCTTACAGTTTATATCCATGATAGTAATGCCTTTACGTGCAGTAAATCAATGTGATGTGTTGTGTCATTTCCGTTCTTTTCTCACCCCTTACAATCCAACCAAAGGCTTATATATTTTTATAACCTCAAAATAGCAAGAAAGCTGCAAGTTTTATAATATTTAAAAAAAAAAAAAAAAAAACAGTTGGTACAAACATGTAAAGAAACACAGCAAAAGAAATTTGAAGTGGACAGACACCCAAAAGAGTCACACAACACAGCACAATTTATTTTTCTTTGGAAAGAGTAGGGAGTGAATTCACAGGAAGAAACAAAATTCTATGAAACTCAAATGAAACACCAATTTATTAGTAACCCAAATAAACTCCAAATTTAGCACTTCAGCAACACCAATTTACCAGCACTTCAACTAAACCCTCAATTTTGCCAACAGCCCCATTTAAAAACTTCATAGTAAACCAACCCAATTCCAACCGCAAAATAGAACATTTCACAGCACCAACACTTAAAAAAAAAAAAAAAAAAAAAAAAAAATGGAAGAAGTCAGACTTCACATACAATTACTCAATTACTCTTCTTTTTTTACTCAATAACTCAATTACTCTTCATACTCTTTTTTTTTTTTGGCAAAAAATGTGAGCATAGCTATTCCAGAAAGGAGAGCCAAAAAGAAATAGAGATAGAGAGAAAGGGAGAGAAAAAGAAATCAAATTACCTGGTTAACATGGGTTAAATCCCTCAAACAATTCGATTCTTTCTCAACAGCAACAACACCACAATTTTCCCAACAGTAGCATGTGTTTTACAATTTCCCCAACAGTAGCAGCACCACAATTGCTTAATGCTAGGGAAACAAACACAACCATCAGAGCTGAAAAAAACAGAGAGAGAAGGGAAAAGGCAGAAACATATTGAAACCCCAAGCGGAAAACCAGTTGAAGAACAGGAAATAAACCCAGATTGAGAGAGAGAATGGCAGCCCAAATCTATATAATAAAGTATCTCTCAAGATATAACCATAACATCAAACCTAAAATGGAAATAATAATAATAATAATAATAATAATAATAAAATCAATAAAAAGTACTTTAATTCATAACATAAATCGGTGTCCTTTGTTGCGTGCCAGTATCAATATCTAGCTGCAAGCACACTGCTATAATTTCTAATGGATTAAGAAAATAAAATAATAAGAAAATATGGTCCATTGCCAACATTTAGTGCCTTACTGAATAGAAAAAGAAATATTGGAAAGAGTTTCTGTGTGGAAGAGGCACAGATCAACATTTAGTGCCTCAGTAGCCCAAAATAGTACACATAAAAATTCATACTGCTATTCTTTAAGTCTAAAGTCATGATTATTGCAACACCGCTATTAGCTTACACAACGAATGAAAGTAATAGGCTATGAACAAAATAGGGCTTCAATGCATACATATCGACAACAATGAGTTCCTTTAACAGCTTCCTCAAACAGCAGCAGCACCATAATCTATTATTGTTCAAATGTTTCTATCCAAAAACATTAGCGTTCTCATCACCTATAAGACCAAAAACTATGTCGAAGTTTAGCAACTTAATCATTCTCGAACCAGAATAGTTTATCAAAAAATGCTCATTCTAAATCATCATCCTTCACGTAGTTGGCTAAATTTATTTTTATTTTATTTTTTTCTCTTTAATGATTATTTGGAGATTGTGCCTCATCCAGAACTCAAAGGTTAACTTCTCTCCAATTTTGCTCTTTATTTTTAATGACAAAAGTTGTTAAGTATGTTGGAATTTGGATGGATGTATATGTTATAGTCTATCTTCTTCCTCAATCTGTGTACAATAAACCTAGTTTAAACCCAGATAAACAATCAAACCTTGAAGCCTCAGGTTTGGTTGCATGTGAGAGAGAGAGAGAGAGAGAGAGAGAGATCGACCTTGTTAGGGAAGGTGAGAGAACAATCTCTTCCTCAATTTGTGTACAATAAACCCAATTTAAACCCAGATAAATAATCAAACCTTGAAGCCTCAGGGAAGGTGAGAGAACAATCGGAACATCGAACAACTCTTTCCCAACAAAACAAAATTAAAAAATACACATACAATAGAATTAAGCAAAATCTCATAAGTTATTGGCAAAAGCGGCACCAAACATTCTAACACAAATTTTCTAAAAAAACAAAGAATGCTCTAAGGTTGAGAATTTAACTAGATAAAAAAAAAAAACATTACCACTTTTTGAATCAAAACAACCATTTACCCCAATCAAAACATTACTATTTACCCCAATCTATCAAAAACAGAATCATTATACTATTTTTTGAATCAGAACAACCATGAAACAAACTCAAAAATATCACCAGTCAAGGATTCTTCAAAATTAAGTGAAATTAAGGTTTTAGTTCACTTAGAATCAATAAATTCTATTCATTAGCAATCAATCATTTAGTAGCAGTTAAGGATTCTTCAAAATTATAATTTTGCATGATTTATGTGTTTTTATGTATTTTGAGTATTTGAACTCAAATTATAGTAAATAATACATTTTAATTATTTTTTTTTATATTTTATATAAAATAAATACTAACAAAAACAAAAACAAAAACAAAAACATAATTTGTTCCCAAGAAAGTGAGGCAACGGTGGCGGTGGCGGTGGCGGTGATGGACAACAAAACACACTTTGTGCCCAAAAGCCACAACAGGCCAAAAAAAATAAAAAAAACTCCACCCCCACCCACCCATCCATCCTTTCTGGCTCACCTCACTTTTTCAAATTTCAAATTTTAAAACACATACTCTCTCTCTCTCCCCTCAAAACACGCTTTGCTACCCCAAGAAGAAGAGGCCAAATCTATAAAGGCCAAAAAAATAAAATAAAATAAAACAAAATAAAGAATTCTTACGAATGGTTCAGTTTAATTTATAGCAAATTTTTTATGTTAAATTTTGGATATTAAAACTTATAACGTTATAATTTAGATTTATGCAGGCAAGTCTTAGTTAATTATGTGGTCCTTTTTAATTATATAAGTGATGGGAATTATCTTAAGTCCATCTAAAATATTATGTACTTTAATCTCAATTGATTAAATTATGTTCCATCCGTAATCACCTAATATTGTTATTAAACTCAATTGATTAAATTATTAAATTTCATTCTTTTTAAACTCAAATGATTAAATTATGTTTCATCCATAATTACCTAATATTGTAATTATGAAAGGATTACAAATATTTAGTGTGTATCACCAAACAAAATGTATGTTTATAATGAGAATATCTACACAGAACTCAATTAAAAATAACAACCCCGCCTAACCTTAATACAAATTAAGAAATAAACATATAAAATTTATAATATTCACCAAAAAAAAAAAAAACAGTCATCTATTTTACTTCACCAATAAAATAGTCAAATAAAAATAAATAAATAAAAAACATATAAGAGAAATATTGTTATGCAATTATAAGAAAAGCCTTGCCTACTACCCTCCAGTGCTCTATTCTTTTACACCCAAAAAGACCAATCCAAGAAAAGCCATATTCGGCCGAGAAATCCAATTCAAAAAATAAATTAAAAAAATTAAATTTTTTTTTGAGAGATCTTAAAAAGGCAAGTCATGTTTCCACCTTTCTCTCTCTCGAATCATGACACAGTAATATGCAACAAAAACCTATTTTCTTTATAGCTTTTCCACTACTAATGAAGACCAACCCTTCCTTGCTTTTGTTGTTTTTCGAATGTTGTAGATAAAAATAAAATAAAAAAAAAAAAATTGATTGAAGAGCTATTAGGAGGTTGTGCTGGACTAATATGAGGAGAGAGAAAAATCTCCATTGTCAGTTTTATAGAGGGTTCCTCCCTTTCTCCTTTCTCCATCTCCTTCCTCCTCCGCCGCCACCACTCTGGCGAGCTCTTCAGCCTCGGCGTTGCAACATCATTTTCCGAAGATGGAGATCAACAGTAAATTTTTAATTGTAAACAATATATTCAATAGAAATCAAAACTCTCCAAAACCGAAACTAAAGAGTTGGGAGTAAAATGGAGCTAAAGAGAGAGAGATGGAGAAGGTTTGTGTGACAATCTGAGGAAGAGAGTTTAAAATCAAGGAGGGAGAGAGAGAGAGAGAGAGAGAGAGAGAGAGAGAAAAGAGTATTTGGGCGGGAATCAAGTGTTTGGTACATTTGAAAGGATTGATCTTAACCTAATCATCCTGCCATATTATATAGATTTACCTTTGCCATTGTCACTATGTCAGGCACAATGCCTTGGGTCTCAAATCCCCCAAAATGGCTCCTAGTGTGAGCAAACCCAGATTGAACCTCATCGGCAATACAAAGCCCTCATGCTTTCTTAATATTGCTATATACAGCATGGAAGTAACCTGGGGTCAATTCAATAATTCCACCCACTCCCTGCCATTTTAGAGAGTAGTTCAAATTAGACAGTAACTCGGAAAAGGTTGTATTAATAGGAAAATGATATTCTCACACGTAGAGGATTTAAGACAAAAATAATGTGGCAATGACACTCTTGCAATTATGAACCATAGTGATGGGCATTTGACTATCAATGCAGGGATATAAATGCGACACATCATTTTGCATAATTTTTTGTGTGTTAAATCTTGTGTGTACATCATTACCCTAATCAATATAGCCACAAAAAGAAACAATAAAAACAAATTTACATAGACGATGCTTACCTGTATGGCTTTAGAAATAAAACCAGCTACATGTCCTGAAGTTCCAAAGGTAATGAGATCTTCAACATCTCTTGCATACTTCTCCCCGTTTGAACCAAAGACTCCTCTGTATAGATCTGGGTTGAGGGCATGGTGAACTCCGCTCTGTTGACCAATCCAAAAAGAATACCAGGATTAGGGAACTGGATTATATTTAATAATAATTTGGTTGCATTGCATTTGTGAATGCTAATTTATGATTACTTGGTTCTTTAGTTAAGGATAAATGCAGTATAAGGTAAGATTGGAAGCTTCACAAAATAATTATTCTTCAATATGTTTAGTATCTTCAGCAATATCAACTGTAAAGTGTAAATGTTAACATAAAGCTACCAATGGTAAAATAAGAAAGTAAACAACACAACAATCATGGCCACCGAATTAGTATCTTCAACGATATCCTCTGAGTTAACCTGTAAGTCTGTATTGGCCACCGAATTCTAATAAAAACAAGAAATCAAACCCTAAATTACATATGTATTAATGAAATGAAGAAGAAGAACAGAAAGAGAAGGAAAAAAAAATTAAGAAAGCAATATGATAAACCTAGTAACAATAATGGAATTAAGAAAGTAATTAAGAGATCAAACCCACATCACACCAATCAACCAAATGGGGTAAAATACCTCTGTTCTTGAAGACGACAGTGGGGTTTGAACTGTAGCAAGCCAAATTGCAGCATGGGAAATTAGTAAAAGACTCATCGTCGGTAGCGAAGGGAGCAGCGTAGCGAAGAGCTTGTAGAAGATTGTCTATTCGGCAGAAGATTCTTTGAGGCGGCAGTGGTGAAATCATCGGTTGAGAGTGTTTGTGGTGAAATCATCGGTAGAGGAGTGGTGGATCTAGATCTAGAAGCGACGGCACCGAAACAACGGCACCATCGAGTGGTGAACATGGAAGAGAGCGGCAGATGCGGACTACGGCGCTGCTGCAGAAGAGGGGCGTGGTTGATGTGGTTGCGAAGGAGGCGGTGGTTCTGGTAACGGTAGTGGGACGGCGGCATAAGGGCAGGTTTGGCGGCATTGAGAGAGAGAACCCTAGAGAGAGATGAGAGAGAGAGAGTGTGTGAACACATCAACACCCATCTCTTTCTTTCTCTGTACTACAACACATTGAGAGAGATCTACCAATGTGACAGAACGTGGAGAGATTGAGTTCAAGAGACGTGTTTGGCAGACGTGGGCGAGAGAGAGGGTAGAGAGTGTTTGGGCGGGAAAAAATTTAATCTGGACCCTTAGATATTGATTAGGAATCATCCCAACCATTCAAATGAAATGTATCTCTTATACATTTTAACATATTTTCAAAAACCTGAGAGAACCCTAGAGAGAGATGAGAGAGAGAGAGTGTGTGAACACTGCAACACCCATCTCTTTCTTTCTCTGTACTACAACACATTGAGAGAGATCTACCAACGTGACAGAACGTGGAGAGATTGAGTTCAAGAGACGTGTTTGGCAGACGTGGGCGAGAGAGAGGGTAGAGTGTTTGGGCGGGAAAAATTTAATCTGGACCCTTAGATATTGATTAGGAATCATCCCAACCATTCAAATGAAATGTATCTCTTATACATTTTAACATATTTTCAAAAACTTTTCTCCCTTATTATATAGATATTTTTGTGGGTTCTGGATTTTTTAAGTGAAGTCTTTGGATTAATATTAAGAGGTTTACTATTGGATGTTTTATGAATGTTTTTTTTCCTTTATGTTTTATTTTCATGCTTATTGCATCAATAAAATTAAAAAATAAAATAAAATTTACAAACTTATCTCCGCTGTACCCGTATCTTTCTTTTTCAAATTTTGGCGTATCGCCGTATCCGTATTGTATCGTACACGAATCCCGTATCCGTGCTTCCTTGCTTAGAAACGAAGGTATGCCCTAAACTCTGCACACAACAAAACACCCATGGTTCTTTTTCTTTCTCTGATAGATCCTTTATAACTTGGCCATCGGAGTGCCCTCTTGCTGGAAACCACTGGTTGGATCGCATTAATGGTGTTTTATTTTGCAGATCACATGGTGAAGCTCATATCTTTCTTGAATCTCTCCATCAATCTATGTGAGCTGATTTTATGTGCTCACATGGACAATTGATTTTTCTCAGCCTTTTCTTGATCCTAATTTAGTTACATCCTGAACTAAGCTTTTTGAGAAGATCTCATTCTAAGAATTTGATTGCTTCAATTTGTTCGGTAAACCATAAAGAGAAAATTTATGAATTCAATTAAATTTTTTTTTATTTAAAATCAATTTATTTAAGGGTCCTATCTGGCCAGAAAAGAGGGAAAACATTATGATCCCATCGTCATTGTCACCTCCTCAGTATTTGTGCACACACTTACATCCTCTTCCAAGTATGTATATGTTTGTTTTTCTGGGGGTGTCTCTTGGAAATAGTCTGTTGTAACCCTAGTATCCAATTCTCAGTTTAACCATCCAATTCTTAGTTTAACCTCAACCCTTCTTTCCCACTTAAAGTTTCTCGTGTTTATTTTTCATTTGTAATTTCTGAAATATATTGCAACCTAAAAGGTGACTACTGCCTTGCAGCCTGCAATTGCTGTTGCAATTAGGGAGCAACTATATGAGGTTAGAATGTAACGCTCCTTTTGTTGTACATTTTTGGTGGAGATTATCAAACCTAGCTATTTTACTTCTCCTTACTATTTTAGTACATGTGCTAGATTGCTATCCAAAGTGTAGCTTCAACAAGGGAAACTAGAATAAACAAGAAGGGTCGCAGAGGGGCTGAACAATTCCCAGCCAGGTTTGTGTTATTGCTTTTACTTAATGTTGTTGATCCTATTTTGTTTTGGTTGGCAAGATTGAGTACTATCTGATTAACAACGTGAATATAGGTTTGAATATATGTCTGCTTTGTCTTTGTTGCTTCTCCCTAACCAAATTGTTTATCTTCCATCATCTCTCTCTCTCTCTCTCTCTCTCACACAGTAAGGCAGGTGGAACTGCAGTAGACTTGATGAAGTTATTTGGTAACAAATCCAGTGCCATTCGGTAAGGCCTGTTAATTTCCTGCATTTTATAACTTTCCAAAAATATATATATATATATATGTATAGTTTGTTGAGCTTGTCATAGTAAAGTTCTTAGTCAACATGCCTAATATTGAGCTTTGTAGTCAACAACAATTTTCAATAGGAGGTATAAGTAGTAGGAAGCGTCTAACACATGGCATTAATCTTTTTTTTTTTATAGCATTAAAATTAAAATTTGAATATCCATTGTGGATATCAATTGTACAGTAATGATACAATTAGAATTAGTTCCATAGAGGAGACTGACTGTAAATCTCTTGGTGCTTCTTCAGGAAGAGAAGGGAATGGGATGTCTATGAACCCATTGTTGATATTCTGTCGAATGAGGAAGTGGATGCCCTTGAAGCAAGAGAAGAGAGGGATGCTCGAACATGAAATTTCTGTTCATTTATGTACCTAAAAAGCAACTAAAGCCACCATGACCACACCATATCTTATTCTCCATGAATGTTTTGAGAATATGCACATGCATTTGTATGTCAGGAGAGGGGAAGAGAAGATCAAGGAAAAGGACTATAAGCAAAAGATTATTACTATTATATCTTTTTTTTTTTGTGATTTGATTGTCAGATCTTTGTTTATGAAGGTGAAAAAACCATTCTCCTTCAACCTATATGCTTCCACTCGAAAGAACAACTCCAACGCCACCCTGCCAATTTAGCAAAATCCAAACCCAATTAATCTTATCGATTAGAACGTAAACCCCAACCTCACAGAAGCTTTCTACGACTTCTCATTCATTCACACCACCTCATATCGATAGAGAGAGTCACTAATCCACAAACAAATCCCGACCTCCCAGCCAAAAGCATCTTCTTTGATGATGGGAGAGAAGGAATAAAATTTCATTTTCTTAACAAACAAAATCAACTTTTATGTTTAATTACAGGAATTCAATAAATTTTGTAAGTCATTTATAATTGTTTGAAATAAAAAATTGACACCTAACGTGTAGAAAAAAAAATCTAAACGTTATTCACTTCTACAGTTGTGTTTGCAAAAAGAAAAGATAAAAAAAAGGCAATTTTCCTTTTTGAAAGTATAAAAAACAAGCCAGTTAGGTGTGAGTTTTCATCGTCTCTTTGACGAATTAAATTCCTGTAATTAATCAATGATGTTGGTTTCTCTTGTTTAGAAAAAGAAAATTTTCATTCCTTCCTCTCCCACTCCCTCCGGCCACCATCCATTGCTCATCTTCATCACCAATCCGCACATCTGGCTACTTGCACCTCAGACCACTGTTGCCATCGACTTCCATCGGCTACAACACATGCAATAAACAGGTACCACAAAAAGCCTTGGCAACCTCCTCCAATGGCTAGAATCATGTTCGACCGCACCCTCTTTCTGAAAACAAACACTGACTAGCTCTTGACAGAAACCATCGGAACCCTAAAGTATACTGAAGAAAAAGAAGATGCAAAATTAAAATAAGATTCATAAACTGTGACATTTATGAAAAAGAATTGACAATTTAGAGAAGACAAAGAAAAGTGTAGTTCGGAAGAAGAGTTAAAAGAGTCTAAAGATGAAGAATGCCAAAAAAAAGAAAAAAAAAAGAAAAGAAAAGAAAAAAAAAAAACATCTCCATCAAATACAAGATACTCTCCCAAACTGGGGAATTACAATAAAAGAAATTCTTTTAAAAAAATCTACAGATGATACATGCCCTTTTATATCTTTCTTTTCCTTATATAGTCTGACAATTAGAAGCCAAAAACATTAAAGCAAACACAATCAGGCGCTAGATAGAATCCAACTGTACCTGCCAGCCACAAACAGTCCATTATTTGTGATTGCTAGTACTCTTCTTCTTGAGTAGGCTACCAAACTTGCACTGCAAAGGCTTCTTCTTCTTTTAATGTTGCTATTGCTTTGACGGTGAGCTTGTGCCATTATCAAGATTTTTTGCTGATGAGGGTAAACCATTTATCTGGTCATAGCTTACACTTGTTTCCACCTTTGCATCCACTCCCTCTTCAAAGGATTCCTGCTCTGGATCTCTCTCTCCAATCTTACAGCTCTTTCACATCTTAAATTCAACGTCCACCGAATGTTCTTTTTCTTTTTCTTTGCTTTCAGTATTTTTTAGGTTTCCATTCAAATTATCACATTTTGCAGCACCACTTCGAACTTCCTCATCACACGAAACATTATTATCCATTGGAAAAAGTTCTTTTACGAGCTGCTCGCATTGTTTGACAGGAATGTTGACTCTCAGCTTATCTTCTCTACCGTCTCCATTCTGCTAGGAGAATTCCATCACCTTCGGGAGCATGTCATGGTCTTTTTCACTATCCGAAAGCTCACCATT